ATTTTTTTAAGTTTATTTACTTATTTTGAGAGGGGGAGGGACAGCGAGAGAGGGAGAGAGAGAATCCCAAACAGGTTCCATGCTGTCAGGACAGAGGCTGACATGGGGCTCGATCCCACAAACAGTGAGATCATGACCTGAGCTGATACCAAGAGCTGGACGCTTAACCAACTGAGCCACCCAGTGCCCCGCAAATCTTCTATTTTAAAAAAAAAGTTTTGTGTTTAATGGTACTTACAATATGTAGACTCATCCTCGGCACTTTTAACATACAAGAAATGTCATTGATAATATTGTCCACAACCGTCTGGTTACCAAAAAGTTGGCTGTCGGTATAATATATGTCTCTATGAAAATTAAATATATATTTTTAATTAGCCATGCTCTCTTTGGAGTATTGGAGTATTATTTGCGGGAAGCTTCAATTGGATGAAACACAACATATAAAGAAAGTAATTTTTTACCCACAGTAGGCTGTGGCTCTTATGTACCATTTCAAAACATAATAGGAGTTAATCTAAACTAACTCTCACATTGTGTCTTAGCAATTTACCAAAACAAGTATTTACCTTTTGGTTGCGTGAGTGTTGCTCTGTACCAATTTATAAATTATGGACAATATTTTAAGAATGAGAGCTGCAAGATAAGATGCAACAAACAAGTTACTCATCATTTCTCTTATTAATTCAAAACATACTGCTATCAAAGATTTCAACTGCCCCCGTCACTATCCATGACATTAAAAAAACTGTCATTCCAAAATAGAAGTATTGAGTACAGAATAATAATTTCCTGAAGCATCAGATAAAATGAATTGCTCTCTGAACAGCAAAACCAAGAGAACACTTTTTCACTGATTCATGTACCTTGTAAATCTATTTGGAAATTATAATCTATTTCCATGGTTATTGACAATGCAAGCTTCGGTAACTCTACTTCAGGTGTAAGGGTGGTCTATGAAAGAACAACTAAAATTATTCAACTAGGAGCAACTGAAACCCAGAAAACAACCAAACTTATTTATTACTAAAAGCTAAGAAAGATTAATTTACCAAACTTTTTAACTGATTTTGGTGAATCACTTTTGATTTTTCTCCTGGTACAATGAGGGACCATCTGAAGACCCACAGAATCTTCAAACCTGTCATTTTGTTGAAAGGTAATAAAATAAAAAAAAATAATTAACTTCTAATCACCAAACACTATACACTTAGTGTCCTCTTCCGCACATAATCTAAATCTTTATTTCTTCTCAGCAGAAGCTTTAGGACAACTTCATTTATAACCTTAGAGAATTCCAGGTGTTAATTAGGTAATTAGCTTTGCGACACACAGAGGTACTAAAATAAAGTGTTTAAAATACGTGAATTAAGTACCTTTAAGTATAATGTGTGTATTTCTTTCCTGGGAAGACATCAACTGTATGTAAGCCATTTTCAAATATTTCACAATTTTATTAGCATTTTTGCTTATTTTGCCCATTTAATAATTTTGCTCAATTTAACAAGTTTTGAAATATTGTGTTCCTGATTTATCCCCAAAGTTACACTAAATGAAATGACAATTTGTGTTAGGTGGTTACACTGAACTGCCAGGCCTGTCCTAAAGGTGGCAGAAGGGCACCAGGCAGATAGGCCAGGTCTCCGCTGCTTCTGGACTCGATGAAACCTCTCTTGCAAAATGATGTAGAATGTGATTCAGAAGTTTATAGTTTGTATTAATTAATGACTGTAAAAGAGCATTCAGTGAGTAAGGGAACCCCAAATTACTTTTATTCTGTTTCTGTAACCCTTATGAGAGCTACCACAGTGCTTTTTGCTATTTAGATTCTACAGGCTGAGCCCCTGAAAAAAAAAAACAAGCTATGTGAGTAGGTCAGAAGGCTTTGACAAAGTTGTTTGCTCATTTTAACCTCTCGGACACATGACTTAGCAGGGGGGAGACCAACCAGGAGGAAGAGCCTCTGAAGTGTGCTCTAGGTTCCAGATACATTTATTTTCATTTCAGTATCAGGATTGGTTGTAGCTCCCCTGAGCAAGCAGTTCACTTTTACAGTATTTTTGCAGAATCCCCCTGGTGGTGTTTCCCCGCTTTGAGTGCTAGAAAAGCTTAGATCCAAGTTTGGAGCCTATTTTTAGCAGGACTGGAAGACTTCATCATATGCGTTTTGACTTCTAGCCTCTTTTGGTGCTTCCTTCATGGCTCCTAGCATTGTTTCCCTTTGCCTTACCTTCCACATCTACTTCTGGTTTAAATGACCTGCCTACGACGTACGTGTTTTTGTAAGCACCCTTAAATCCTTCCAGGAAGGGTAAACGCGGTAAAAAGAATGAAATCGGACTAGAATTCTAACTCGAGTAAATTAAAATAATGACATAGATAACTGTATTTAAAAATTAAAAAGGCAACATGCCCACTTTATATTTTCCCAGCTCGATCTGTTGTCTATTGTGAACACGGGAGCTTTATTTCTTGCCAGGCTGCTGATGACGTCTTGAATAACACTTTCTATAGATGCAAGAACCTCAGAACTGAAACAAGAAACACATTATGATTCAATCTTAATTCTAAATTAGGCCTTTTACAACATGTACCATTCCCCCAGATCAACACTAAAGTAAGTTCTTGTCTCCTTGATTGTTTTTTAAGACTAGGTAATTTCCCCTCTATACCACTCTCTCCCGCTTTTGACATCAGCATTGCATTAAAACAACTGTATGGATAGCGGTTACTTACAGAGAAATTTCATTTGCTTGTAATTTTACTTCCCAAATAGTTACAACTGAACTAAAATCTCTCTTTTAGACAGTGTTAATGACTAGACAATAGAATTTATAAATATATTGTACATCTCGTCATATTAACCTACTTAAATCCAAACTTGTTGGCTTGAAATACTGCTGATAACTGTTTTAATTAAAAATGATGGAATATTGGCTTTGAGTTGAATTTCTTCCCCAAAAAATGCAATGCAAAAACATTCCAAAAGCAATATTTGTTGTAGCACATCGCCCTGATTGATCTCATGCCTTAAATCTGCCCTTTTGAATTTTAGTGATAGAAAGAGAAAAAAGTTTAATCACTACCATGAAAAGACTTGGCAAAACCATTACACCACTTTAGAGCAAAATATTAAGACTTAGCCCAGTTTTCTGTGAGCTGACTTTTAATTTCACAAGCCATCAGCTTCAAAAAAATGTTGTTCGGTTATAAATACCATTAGCGTGCTGCCTAAGAAGGGAGATCAAATTAAATGTAGAAAATGGGCAAAATGTAGAATGTTCTAGTTTCCATAGAAACTTCAGAGCTTGCTTTGAAAATGCACAAATCAGAAAGTAAGTTTCAAAAGAATCAGTATTTTCTAACATGGGGAGAGAAAAACGGACTCACATATCTCATTCATTTTTCCAGTTTGGGGGAAAAAAAAGTTGCAAGATTAACGCTGTGACAAACCTGAAAATACAATTAGATTACTTTACATCGCGACCGTAAACACGGGACTTCCATGCCCTCCTTCCCCTCACCCTCACTTCTCTCCCAAACTCGTTTCATAAAAATTGGTTTGCTTGTAGGTATTCCACTTTTGTTGCTGTTCGTTTTGTTTTGTTCTGTTTTGCTTTTGGTAGTCAGCTTAGTCTTAAAAATATGCCAGTAATTTGTTTAGGCTGAAAAACTTTGCGAGGGGGACCTGGACGGCTCAGTGGGTTAAGACTCTGACTCTTGATTTCGGCTGGGGTGGTAACCTCATGCTTCATGGGATCTACCCGTGCGGTGGGATCTGCGTTGCCAGCGTCGAGCCTGCTCGGGACTCTCTCTCCCTCTCTCTCTGCCCCTCCCCGTCCCCTCAAAACAAGTAAACATCGAAAAACAAAAACAAAACAAACTTTGCCGATAAACCACAAAAGCCGACCTAGGAAAAGAACAACAGAGCACTTTAGGCAAAAACGATCCAGAACATAGTCTCTATAGTTCATTCCAAGTTGAGTAGCTGGAGACGCTCCGTAATGATTTCATCAACACCTCACTCTAACCAACTAAGCCAAGCCGCCAACTGCTTTGATTTTCATTGAGGTGCGAACATCCCCTCCACTTCTAAGTTAAGTAAATCCTTGTCGTAGCGTAAACACCTTCTCGTTCACTTTGCTAAAACCCCCTAATTGAGCGGCAACTCCCAACATTCATGTTCCCTTTCTCTTCCCCACCCCCACCCCCCCCCCCACAAACCTGAAAGCTTTTTAGGTTAAAATGCTCTCCAAAAAAAAAAAAAAAAATTTTTTTTTTTTCCTAACAAAGACAAAGCCAAAGTTTAGGTCAGCCTAAACTCCTCGACTGCAGAGAATCTTAGGAAACCTGCGAGCCTAGCTGTGGGGACGCTCCTGGAACATTCTAGATGGCGAACATTCTAGAAAACAAGGGGGGGAGGGGCTCTGTCACGAGGCTTTTTGAGTTCAAAATGAGACCTGAGAGCGGAGGAGATGGAGCGCTGCCGAAGGACTTCTGTCAGGGTTCATGGGTGGCCTGTGAAGGAGGTCGTCCTGCGACCTCAACATCTCAAGGGAGAAGGGAAGGGGCACCAGCCACGTCCCTCCGGAGCGCCTCACGCCCCCACCCCGGGGCGACTGGGGACCCCCGGGGACCCCGCTGCTAACCGCCCGGCCTGCGCGCCCCGCAAGGAGCCCTTCTACCTCGAGGCCAGGCGCGTTCCCCCGTCCGCGGGCTCCCCACCGCCTCTCCTCAGGGCGGCCAGCAGCGAAGCCCTGTGTTGGTCCAAAACCTCGAAGAACGAGGCCTCAGGCCCCACCGGCGCAAACGCCATGGGGGTCGACAGCGACAGGAAGCGCCAAGCGCAGAGAACCCCACCAGCGCCCGCGACGGCCCTCCCTGGTGCTTGCTGCGCATGCTCCCTGGAGGCGCGTGCCGTTGGTTGGCTTTCTGACTGGGGCTGCGCATGCGCACTGCCCGGGCAGGCGTGTAACGACTCTCGCATGCGCATAATGACTCTCACGGAGTTGAATTCGCAGGCGAGCAGGGCTCGTTCGGGTGCGGTCCCACCTCGGGAGGCAAAGTGATGGGCCCGGTAGGGACCCGTGTTTGGACTGTTGGACCCGGTTTTCCTTGAAATGGATTTATGGGTTATTTGGGGGGAGGGTGGTATCTAGGGAAAATCGTACCAGCAGTTTTTCATTAAAAGAAATAGTTCTGGTGATCCACCTGTACACCAGATGCAGTGCTAGGCACTGGGTTCAGCTGTGATCAGGGCAAACAAATCTCCTGGCCTTACTAACATTCATAGAGCAGCCTCTTTCTTAATTCTCCTAACCATCCCAGGAGGTTCCTGATGTGGTCATGGCGCTTTAGCAGGCGAGGAGGGAGTGAGGTTCACAGCTCAGTCGGGCTACGGTAACATCCCAGCTCGATCACTTACAAGGATCGCCAGGTTTAGCAAATTGAAATACAGGACGCTCCGTTAAATTTGAATTTCAGATAAACAACAAATACTTTTTTTTTTTTTTTTTTTAAAGGATAACTAGGTCCCATGCCATCTTTGGGACATACTCTTACTAGAAGGTTTCCGACATTCAGTATTTCATCTAGCAATCCTCACATTGGACCACACCCTTGCCTGGCAGATTGGAGATTGGTGAGTTGTGTTTCCCCCCCCCCCCCCCACCCCCCACCCTCTCTTGAAACCTTTGAGCAGAAGGACTCTTGATTCAGGGGGAACGGTGCCTTTGAGAGAGGACAATGGGGAGAGACCCTAAAGCAAGGTAGGTCCCAGGCCTCTGGGGGCCTGGTCCTACGTGGATGGGAGCCTGAGGGCTTTGCCACGGAAGAGCCACCTGACCGCAGGGCCGCTCCAGAAAACACTTTATTCCCTCACTTGCTGGGTATTTGATAGTTTTGAAACTAAAACTGCTTTGCTGTCAGAAATGACAATGAACCCCCTCTGTTCATAATGGGCACTGAACTGAGGGCCTTTGTTATTCTTATTATCACAAATACTTACTGCCTGCCCTGAGCTAGGAATTGTCGGGAACTGAGGACACTGCTGTGAACAAGGCAGGCAGAGTCCTTACCCTTTGGGAGCTCACCATCTAAGGAGAGGATAAATAAGTGAACGCTTGAGTAATCAAGTCGGCAGGGTGCCTTTAAATCAACAACGCTAAGGGGTGCCTGGGTGGCGCAGTCGGTTAAGCGTCCGACTTCAGCCAGGTCACGATCTCGCGGTCCGTGAGTTCGAGCCCCGCGTCGGGCTCTGGGCTGATGGCTCAGAGCCTGGAGCCTGTTTCCGATTCTGTGTCTCCCTCTCTCTCTGCCCCTCCCCCATTCATGCTCTGTCTCTCTCTGTCCCAAAAATAAATAAATGTTGAAAAAAAAAATTTAAATAAAATCAACAACGCTAAGAGGTAAAAATAATTACCCCCATTTCACCGGGGAAGAAACCGAGGCTTGGGGAGCCATCAGTTTGTGCAAGATTGCACTCTGGTATGTAACAGGGGTGAGAGCGAAATCGTGACCTCGAATTCAAGCTTTTTATCATGGGGACAGGAGGCACCACTACAGGTCTGGCTGGGGAATGTGTAGTGTAATTTGTAGAGGCTTCTCTGATGATAGAATTACCCCGCTGGCCTCAGTTTTCTCCACTTTGAGATGAGGGCAGTGCCACAGGTGGGCTCTAATTTATCATCCCCAAACGAGGAAGAAACAAAAGGCCTTTGAAGGGAGAGGGCAAGTCAGTGACACCAGCTAGGCTTGTCTGCTGGGAAGTGCCTCTCTCCTGGGACTAGAACCGTCTGTCCAGCTGTCTCTGGCTCTCGTGAGGACAGGCCGTTCTGTATCACAGAGCGCTAGGCTCAGCCAGGAGCCGGCGGCCTCACCAGATCTATGGAAAGTCCTGAGCTGGGCAGGGGCACGGGGAGGGGAGGGGATCGACACGGAGAAGGGAACAACCCATACTAAACTTGGCATTCCTGCGGGGAGAAACCACAAGGGGCAGACTTGAAAGGCCTCGCTGTGTTCCCACCGCGGCAGACCAAAGCGGGAGGCGTTAGCTGTCTTTGCAGGAGGCTTTCAGGTATCCGGCCTGCACTCGGGCGACTTGCCCTGTGCCCACCACCTCCACATCAAAGTCACCTAGCCCAGCCCCGGGGCCCTGCGAGGAAACCGGAAAAACAGATTCCGCCCCTAGCAACGGATCGCAAATGAAACCGGGCAAATGCCCTTTGCGCGTTGCGGGGCAGTCTTGGTATGGGGTTCTGCCTACCTGCTGGCCAGCTGTGCTCGGCGCAGGGACAGAGAAGGGTCACAAAGCCGCACTCAAGCCGCTCTTGGGAAAATGAAAAGCTTTCCCCCTACACCCTACTAGTGGGCCTTTCCTCCGAACCCAACCTGACATCCGGAAGCTTGTCTGAGGGCCAGAACCCCCGAGTGGGCTGGAAAGGAGCATTATTTAAGTCAGGCACAATGATTGTAGGGAAGGATGGGGACTGGACAGGAGACGATGCCCCACTTGTTACGTTTAAGCAAGGTGGCTGCTTCAGCAGCTCTAAGTGGATTTTAACATCATGTAGAGTGTTGAGGAAAAAAAAAGTAAATTCCACAATAATGTCTTTATTTGGGGGGCTTTATCAGGTGTTTTTATTTTGTATGTATGGGTTTTTTTTCGCTTTTAAAAAAATTATAAGAAGGATATATGCTTTTCATAAAATATTTACATAATTCAGAAATTACAAAATGAGAAGGGTTTTCTTTTTTTCATTAATTTTTTTTTTTTAACGTTTATTTATTTTTGAGACAGACAGAGCATGAACGGGGGAGGGTCAGAGAGAGAGAGGGAGGCACAGAATCTGAAACAGGCTCCGGGCTCCGAGCTGTCAGCACAGAGCCCGACGCGGGGCTCGAACTCACGAACCGTGAGATCATGACCTGAGCCGAAGTCGGACGCTTAACCGACTGAGCCACCCAGGCGTCCCTGAGAAGGGTTTTCAATTAGCAATAATTGTGCCTCAGATAAACCTCGTTGGCTACAATACTGCCCCCGCGCAGAGCCTGAAGGTATGAGATGAAAGTGAAAGGAAGCCCCTCTCCCAGCATCTACTCACTGCAGTACCTTCATTTGTCCTACTCGGCACTCTGCCCTCCTCCAGACCCTGGAAGGATTCCTTCTCGCCCCGGGGCCTTTGCACATGCTCTCTAGCAGTTTGGAATGTTTTGTCTTCTTTCTCTCCTACTCTCCGCCCTCCCTCCCCTAAAGCCAGCTTTGCTAATTCTCCTGTATCCTTCAGATCTCCGTCTGGATCTCCCTGGACCACCCCCAAGTCTTGACCCTTGGTGCCCCCTGTCTCCACATGCCTGCATTCCTCTACCCTGTCAACCCCAGGGACTGAGCTCATCCGGCACCCCACAGTTCCACTGTGCCTGGCACACAGAAGGCACTCCGCAGTATTTGTGGAGCGAATGAATGAATGACCCCTTGCGGGATTCTGTCTGTTATCTACTTGTAGTATTTCTGTACATCTTTCTGCACATGCCCACATAAGCATCGTTTTTTATATGAATAAGACCCTACATTCTCCTGGGATTCTGCCACTGGCCATAATAATAACTGCGGTTTGCTGATGCTCAGACCCTGAGCCGAACTCCATGCACGAAATCTCATTTACCGCCTTTCATTGTATGGGGAGAAAGTCGAGGCTCAAAGAAGTACAATCCGAACTCCTGGCTTCACAGAGGCATCTGGCAAAGCTCTGATCCGACGAGAACAGTGTCTGTGCTGTGAGCTACTATATGCTAGTGCCTCAAAGTCAAGGTAATTTGGTGCTGATGAACGGATCCGTTCATTTTTCGTAGGCAGGGTGATTCTAGAACAGGATATATGATGTCAAGCCGATCAATACAAGGAAGATGATGCAAATAAGATCAGCAAAATATTCGTGAGCATGTGGGTTATCTTACTGATGAAGGCCTGGAAGTTGTTTGTTTGAGAAAGAGAGTGTGCTGTAATATGTACCCCCAGGGACCCAGCATGAGCTCCTGTGACTCTGGCCAAACCTTTCCATCTACGTCCACCCCCTTCCCAACCCTACCTCCAGATTCTTTGGAAGCAAATCCTAGGCATCGTATTATTTCATCTTCAGTATTTGAATGCGCATCTCTAAAAAATAAGGACTCTTTTAAAAATAACTAGAATCTGGGTTGACTGGGTGGCTCAGTTGGTTAAGCATCTGACTTCTGCTCAGGTCACGGTCTCATGGTTCGTGGGTTCGAGCCCCGCGTCGGGCTCTGTGCCGACAGCTCGGAGCCTGCAGCCTGCTTCAGATTCTGTGTCTCCTTCTCTCCCTGGCCCTCCCCCGCTGAAGTGCACTGGCTCTCTCCCTCTCTCTCTCTTTTTCTCTCTGTCTCAAAAATAATAAATAAACATTTAAAAACTAAAAAAAATAATCATAATCCCATTTTCATACCAAGAAGAACATATTTTACAATCATCCTTTAATACTTCCTAATATTCTGTCACTGCTAAAATGTCCCCAGTTACTCCACGAATTGTTTTTATAGTTTCTTCTCATCAAGGTGCAGATAAGGCCCATCCCTTCATGGCTGTTGGCTGATACAGCTCTTAAATTTCCTTAATTCTACACCTTCCCCCCACCCTTTTCCTTCCCTGCCATTTATTTGTTGAAGATACCGAGTCATTTGTCCCAGAGAGTTTCACGCAATTAATAGTTTGTGGATCACACCCCTGTGGTGTCATTTAACATGTTTTTCTGTCCCTGGTATTTCCTGTAAGTTGGAAATTAGATTTAGGGGCTTGACTGGTCTTGCTTGGACCTTCCTTTCCTTCCTTCCTTCCTTCCTTCCTTCCTTCCTTCCTTCCTTCCTTCCTCCCTTCCCTCCCTTCTTCCTTCCTTCCCTGTATATATCATAGGTAGTTTGAAATGTGTATATTTTACTATATTTCACTCCACTATAACCTCCTAGGCCCTCTATGGCTGGAGCTTCCAGGTTGAGAAGCTCAGAGCTGGCCTGAGCCTCTCATTAACAGAAAGAGAAGCCCAGCCCAGGAGGCAAAGTCACGCTCAGCAAAAACCCTGCAGGGTTCAGAATCCCTCCACAGAAGACCAACCCAGAGGAGGAGATCCAGGGAGCGATTTTGCAGCCACAGTTTCCCTCCACTTCATGGAAGCGTCCTATGGATTTGCAGGGAAGGCTCTGCAACCTGGCTCCCTCCTGGCTTGCCAGCTCGCAGAGTGGCTTCTGGCCACGACCCAGCCTGACTCATCCTCTCTGCTTTTTATTTCTTTCTGCCTCACACCCCAACTGGGCTGCTAATCACTCCCCTCCACCCACTAGTGTGTGTGTGTGTGTGTGTGTGTGTGTGTGTGTGTGTGTGTCGGAATTGCTGTAGCCATGGCCTAGAGACACCCCACCACAACTGTTTCCCAGCCCTCCTCCATCCTCTAGTCTCTGCTTCATTTGAAAAATCAGTTGACACTAAACAGCGCCTTGCTTTGATTTAAGGAGACTTAAAAAAATTTTTAAAGTAGTTCTCATCGTCCCTCTCTGCCACTCCTTTTTCTTCTTTTATTGTTTGTGTTTCATTCTAAAGCCCTCTTGGCAACTGGTTTTGACAGAAAGAGAGCTTTTACCAAAGACCAGAAGGCACATTCAGTGCCCAAAACCAAGGTGATAAAACTCCTAAGGTGTTTTCTCCTCCAGCTCCCTCTTTACTACGCCCAAGTCCATACCAGAGGGCTTCCGGATTTACATATTGACCTGGATCATCACACACACACAGACAAGCGCCTCCCTGGTGCCCGGGGCCCTTCTTGACACGAAGATTACAAAGAGGAAGATCCCTGGGGCACCTGTGTGGCTCAGCCCGTCGGGCGTCCAAGTCCGACTTCAGCTCAGGTCATGATCTCATGGTTTGTGAGTTCGAGCCCCGCGTCAGGCCTTGTGCTGACAGCTCAGAGCCTGGAGCCTGCTTCGGATTCTGCGTCTCCCTCTCTCTCTGCCCCTCCCCTGCTCACGCTCGGTCTCCCTCTCTCAAAAATAAACATTTAAAAAAATTAAAAAAAAAAAAAAGCACGATCACCAAGTGCCATGCACATGTTGCTGGTATTTTGGTGGGGAAGACAGATCTTAAAGAGAAAAACGAACACACGACATAGAGTCGGTAATGCTGTGTTGCCTGGAAAAGAAATGCCAGTGTTTGGACAGGAAAGAGTGAAGACGTGAACACAGAGAAGTTGAATACTAAGGAAGGGCCAGCCGCAGGCTGGGGGGAGCAGCACACACCAAGCCCCTTGGGACAGATGGGATCAGAGAGCAAGGCAATGTTGGTGGAGGGGGAGAAGGACAGGAAGGTGGTGGAGAGGAGGGGCCAGACCATCAGAGGCCTGTCCGCCAGCAGGAGGAGTTGGGACTTTGCTATAAGGCAACGATTCCAACTGGGGCAATTTGCTTCCACGGGACATTTGGCAATGTTGGGAGGTGTTTTTGGCTGTCACAACCTGGGGGGGGGGGGTTGCTACTGGCGTATGGTAGGAAGAGGGTGGCGTTAAACATCCTGCAGGGCACAGGGCAGCCCCCACAGCAGAGAATGAACCTGTCCCTGATGTTAATAGTGCCAAGGCTGAGAAAGCCTGCTGGAAAGGCAGGCGGAGGTCATCAGAGGGTTTAGAGCAAGGGAATGACATAAACTGAATCAAGAAGGGAGAATGGATCCCGGGGAGTGAGGGTGGAGGCAGCCGGACCGGGGATAGGAATTGCATCTGTGCAGGCGAGAGGTTCTCCTGGACCAGAACGCTGTCCTCCAAGGTGGAGGGAAGGCACAGGCTTGGGGATGCTTTTCAATCAAAGAAAGCCACGGTCACACATGTTTTGGAAATGCTGCATACTCCACCAAGGTAGCAGTCTGGCGTGAATCCCACAGCGAGATTGGTTGGGTTCAAACCTTGGCCTTGCCACCTGCTCAGGCTGTGTGCTCTTGAGTAAGTGTCTCAACCTCTCTGTGCTTCAGTTTTTTCCACTTCTAAAATAAGAATAAGAATAGTACCTACCTCCCAGGGTAGATTGTTAGTATGTGGGTTGATTTGTTAGTATGTGTAAATGAGTTCGTATACGCCTGGCACATCGTGGACACTGGACAGACTTTACCTGTTATTCGAGTGCATCCCCATTAAGGGTGCCACCACGTGTGTCTACAAGTGCAAGGCTGTGCATAAAAATCTTACTGAACCTGTATAACCCGCATTTGCCAAACTTCCGTTTTTCGCGCCTCTTCCTCGGTGACACGCAGAAAACCAGATATCCGTAGAACATTTTAAAATCTGTAGAAACTTTTAAAACCAGCTATCCTGAGATGTAAGTCACCCGGCATGAAATCCACCCTCCCAAAGTTCACAGGGTGCGTTCACAGAGCTGTGCAGCCATCGTCCCGATCTACTTGGAGAACGTTTTCGTGTCCCTCCACCCGCCCCCCAAGAAACCCCGTTAGTCGCTTCTCTCTCGTTTGCCCCCGGCAGCCTTCCGTCTTTATAGATCTGCGTGTTCTGGACAATTCACACAAATGCAACCCTACAACAAGGGGCCTTGTGTGACTGGCTTCCTTCACTCAGCGTGTTTTCAAGGTTCGTCTACGTGTATCTGTGGTTATTCTTTTTCCTGGCCAAGTAAATATCCCACTGTACGGAGAGCACCATTTTCGTTTGCCTGTTCCTTACTTGGTGGGCGTTTAGGTGGTTTCCACCTTTAGGCATGACGTCGCCACGAACATTCCCGTACAGGTTTTCACAGGGATGTATGTTTGCATCGCTCTTGGGTCCAGACCTCGGACTGAAGTGGCTGGTGCGTGTGCGGCATTTTGCGGAAGAGGGCACTCTCGGAGATGGGTAGGTGTCGTCACTTTTGTCTGCTCTGCCAATTTCCTTCCTCCTCTTTCCTTCCTGCGCCCCCTCCCCCCACTCCCCTCAACCGCCTCCACTCTCTTCACCATCCCGGGTGCAGGTCAGCATTTTGCCACTTCCCAGATGTGTGGTCTTGAGCAAGAGGTGTGCACTTCGCTAAGCCTCCGTTTTCTCCTCCGTAAAGTGGGAATCTGACGAAAGGAGGCGGTTTGTGGAAAGCGCTTGCTCTGGTGTCTGAAGCCGGTATTGTGAGACTTACTGAGAGAAGTTTCCTACCTTGTAGACGTGGTTGCAAACGTGTAAAGGGTTCCTGGGCTTGTCTCTGAACAGGACACGGGACGTGCACGTCCTCACCTCTGCCAGCTTTTGCCAAACGAATCTCTGAAGTGACCACCCCGATGTCACTCCCCTCCTTGTCCGTGTCCTTGTCTTTTTTCCTTTTGCCTTTCGCAGGGTGTGAAAAGGTGTGACTTTACGATTTTGACTTGGGTGCCTGCCTCTTCCCTGGGACTGTTTAGCACCTGCAGACACCCTGTGAGGCAGGCGCTGATCTCCTCCCCATCCTGCAGATGAGGAAACCAGCTTTGAGAGGTGAAGGGCTGGCCCGCGAGTTTGGAGCTCGGGCGGTCTGGCTCCGATGCCTGGGCTCCCTGCCTCCGCTTCACTGGGCCTCCTGTGGAGCCCGGCGCTGGCAGATAAACACGAGCGAGACCTCGCGGTGACTAAGACCATTAAGAAATCTAAGAAACATGTGCATCCTTTCATTCGACAAATATTTATTGAGCATTTACTCGGTGCCAGGCTCTGCAAACAAAATAAAGTCCCTGTCGCCAGGGCTGGCAGTCCAGCGGGGGAGGGAGAGAGAATAAATCTGTACCGTCACGTAAGCTCTGCGAAGAAAAACAAAGCAGCGTTAAGGAAGCTGGAGAGGGAGAGGGGCGCTGATTCTGTCGGGAGGTCGAGGAAGTCTCGTCAAGGAGGTAGCATTTGTGCAGAAACACGATGAAGTGGGTCGTGAACCACACGGGCACCGGCCGGGAGAGCTGTTTGGGGGGAGGGGATAGCACATTCAGGCTTCGAAGGAGAACGCGGTTGGGATGTTCAAGGAGTTCGAGAATCCTCCAGCTGACCTCCCAAGATCCCCGCCCTCTGCTTATTCATCCAAACATGAATCTGGGTGCTGCCGTGCGCGGACTTTGTATTTGTAATTAAAGCCCCAAGTCAGTTGACCTTGGGATACAGAGGTAAGATGGGCACATCTGACCTCGTCAGGGGAGCCCCTCGGAGGCAGAAAGTCGGCCCTCTGCGGCTGGAGGCCGGAGGAAATGTCAGAGGGCCTGGAAGCCGAGAGGATTTGATGTGCTGTGGCTGGCTGAGGTACAGGGGACCGTGACATGGTGGCCTCTGGGAGCTGGGAGCTTCCCCGGGGCTGAAAGCCGCCAAGGAGATGGGGGCTGCAGTCCTGCAACCACGAGGAACAGATTCTGCCAATGACAGGAATGAGCTTGGTGGGGCGCCTGGGGGGCTCAGTCGGTTAAGCGTCCGGCTTTTGATTTTGACTCAGGCCATGATCTCACCGTTCACGAGTTTGAGCCCCGTGTCGGGCTCTGTGCTGACAGCTTGGAGGTTCCTTGGGATTCTCTCTCCCACTTTACCCCTTCCCTGCTCAAGCTCACACACACACTCTCAAAGTAACTAAATAAACTTTTTTTTTTTTTTAAAGGAATGAGCTTGTAAGAGAACCCTCAGCTCCAGGAGAGAGTGCAGCTGGCCAACACCTTCCCTGCAGCCTGAGCGAAGGACCAGCCACGCTGTGCCGCACTTCCAAGCCACACAACCGTGAGCTCGTAAAAAGGTGTTGTTTTAAGCTCCTGAATTTGAGTCGTTCGTCACGTGGCACAGAAAACGGATATAGAGGTCGTGTAACTACCACCGGGTGAAGCCCGGGAGGTAACAGGCCAGACCCTGCAGGGCCATCGGCCGCGGGGAGGACTTTGCATTTGTGCTGAGGGACCCAGAAAACCACGCCAAGTGTGTAACTCTCACATCCTCGCCCTCTGTTCCCCCTCGCCCTTCTCTCATTTTCCGTCCTGCCCGGTTTTCATTCCATCGCCACCCCCTACCTCCTTATATCTGTCTACCGAGGTGTGTGTTTGCGGATCTCCGGGGGCACTGTTGATTGTGAGTGACGGGAAATCTCACAAATTACTTAACCCCCAAATCCGGGACTTCAGGAATGGCTGGATCCAGGAGCTCAAGGATTACTTTCAGAAGTCTGCGTCTTTCCCTCCCTCTACCTTGCTGTCTTCTGCCTTGTCTTCTGCCTCACCTTCATTCTCTGGTAGGCCCTCCCCACATGGTGGCTGAGATGACCACCAGCAGTTGGGAGTCGAAGCCTGTCATTTTAACAATCCAGTCAGAGACCCCACCTTTCCACATGGCTCCCCTAAGAGTCCTGGGATGACCCGGAAAGGAGCAGCTTGGGTCACATGACCGATGCAGAACCAATCACAAAGGGCGGGGGAAGGGTCACTGCAGAGGGGAGGCCTCAGCCCCATACCTGTTCCTGGATGTGGGGCTGGGGGGTGGGGTGCGGGCTGGGGAGCAAGGGGCCTGCAGGGCTACCTTGAAAGCCCCCGGACTGAGAAAGGGGAGGGATGGTCCTTTGGGGCCTTTCCGGGGGGTCACTGGGGTGCTGTGGATAGGGAAAGGGGGGGGGGGGGAGACGCTGGTGGGGCAGAGCCAGCACCCAGCACCCACTGGCGCCCAGCTCCGCCCACGTCTCGGGCGCCGCGGGGGCCCGGGTGCCGTGGGCGATACGGCTTCTGCAGGGAGACTCCAGCCCACCCTGTGTTCGCTCCCGCTCCGGTCGTGGGGCCCTCGCTTCCCCCCTCGTTATCTCTGCATCCTATTAGATCCTGGCACAGGCAGCGGGCGGAGGTGGAAACGCCACACCAGCCTGCCTTTGCCCCGGTTGTTTACTGGGGAAATAAATAGAAAAAGAAACTCGGCAGAACAGATGCTTGGACCGACGCAGAGGCCCTGGGAGGCTCGCGGTGGAGTCGTCTTCATAAACAGACGCCGAGAGGAGCAGCCCGGAAAGTCTGTCCAAGCTCCAAACAAACGAGGACCCGGAGCCAAGCGTGAGGCCAGCCGGAAGGTCCCAGCCAGGGAGGGAGAGCCCTGGGGTGGTGGTGGTCCAACAGGACGCCCAGCCCTTTGCTCGCGAGTGGGGGCGGGGAGGGGGGGAGGGGTGCCAACATCGGTATCTTCCGCTTGCTGCTTTTTAAAGGCAGTGTTGGAAAGAGGGCTGTGAGGACAGGTGTGCTGGTTGGCTCCGAGACCCTCCCCTCCCCAGACACCGGCATGCACTGTGCTTGGCCTGACAGTGGCCTGTGAGGACCTGATGGGTGCCCCTCCCCCTGCCCCCCAACCCCATTCTGCTGCTGCAGCTACACCAGCCGCCAGGGCCTCCTTGGCTGTTCCGGAAATACACCAGTTCGCTCCTGCCTCAGGGCCCTTGCACCTGCTGCTCCCCACCCCCACCCCCAGCAACACTCTTCCCACACACTGTCCTGCGCCTTGCTCCCTCACTTCCTTTAAGCTTCTGCCCTCTTAAGTCATAGGACTTTGGATGAGGCTTAGTTATGCGGCAGTTAGCAACCCCAGACCCTCCAAGTCTGCGCACGGTGAAGGGTCACCTCTCACACACACTACACATCCCGTGTCATGGCCTGGGGGGCGCTGTCGGTCACTCAGAGCCCCAGGCTGACCCAGGCACCTCTGTTTGTATTTTCATGGTCACCGGAGCTGTGGGAAGTCACGCAGCGGCTCTGCAGTTCCTCCCAGAACTGGCACCTGTCACGTGTCTTTGGCCAAAGCAAGTCACAAGGGTCCGGAAGACATTTGGGGAACAGCTCCGTGTTACCCTGTTCCTGAGACACCCTGTGTCTGTGCCCCCCTCCCCCCCACCGCCGTGCCCTGGTTCTCTGCTGCGCCCCTCCCTACGTGACGTTGGCTACAGCTAGTTGCTTATTATTTCCTTCTCCCCCTAAAATCTAGGCCCCCGGAGGGCGGGCTCTGTCTGCTTTTGTTCGCTACTATACTGCAGCACTTAGAACACTGCCTGGTATGCAGGAGGCACTCAAATAACATTTAGTCGCGTCGATCATAGTAGGATGGAGAGTTAATGTCTAAGGATGCTTAGTGGGGGTGAGCACCATGCTGAGTGCTGTTCGTGGATTGACTCCTTCATTCCTATCTCGGGCCTATGGGGAGGCAGGGCTGCTGTGACCCCCGTTTTCCACACATGGACACTGAGGCTCAGAGGGGTCAAGACACTTGCCCGAGGCCACACAGCAAGTTAGTGGGCAGAGCCAGCCTCCTGACCTCTGAGAGGTCCTGCTGGGCCCAACTCCACGTGATCGGGGCGGAGAGTCACCGCACCAGCTGGATGTCCTGTGTGTGCAGGGACAGGGCCGCGGGAGCACGTGCAGAAGGCAGGGTCACGATGGCAGTGGCTCCGTCTGTATTGCTCGCCGGGTACTGCGCTTAGTGGGGCACATCCCATTTCATGCTTACGAATCCCCCCCTCCGCTCCTTCCTGGCCCCTCTCACCTGTGTGAGACTGTGACTAGGAGCCTCCGTTTGCCCATCTGTAGAGTGGGGGGGTGACCATCGTAGCTGCCTGACGGGGTTGTGAGGCTAAAATGCACTGACAGCGTGAAGTGTTCAATACGCAGGAGGAATCCCGGTTTCTAAGACCTCTTAGTGGCACCGAGCGTCTGTCCTAAAACATTCGGCGTCTGCAGGAGTCGGCACGTTCATCGCCTCGCTGTTTGCAAAAGCAGGAACGTTGCAAACACTCGAATATTCTCCGGTACTTGGAGTCGACCAGCGTTTTGCAGACACACAGCGGAAACCCGGGAGGCCGATGGTGGGAACAGGCACCAGCCGGGTACGCTTCGGGGGGAAAGCCGCGTGTGTTCCATAATCCCACTTCAGTAGATTATACTTTTGCCTTCTGTATTATACATTTCTGAAATGTTTAAACAGCTTATTTTATTTCTTTTTTTCACAGAGAGAGAGAGAGAGAGAGAGAGAGTGAGCTGGGGGGTGGGGGAACAGAGGGAAGGAGAGGAAGAGAATCCCAAGCAGGCTCCCCGCTCAGCACAGAGCACGACGTGGGGCTCAGTCTCGCGACCCCGGGAATCACGACCTGAGCCGAAATCAAGAGTCGGACGCTCAACAAACTGAAGCTCCCAGCCGCCCCTGTTTGGGTTTTTTGTTTTGTGTTTTTTTTTAAGGTAGGGGTTATTTTGTAGTGAGGGCGAATGGGAAAGTGTTGTGAGCCTCACATCATGCAAGTCAGTGAGGACCTGGGTATTGAAACTACCTTGAAAACCACCTCTCTTTATTAGGGTGGGAAGCCTTTCCCGAAAGCCGACGGTACGCAGGCCCTGAGTCTCATCTGCCAGGATGGGGCATAAGCCAGACCAGAGTCTGAGTTTGTGCTCATATTGACCTATATTCTCATCACAACTCAAAGATGATGATGTTAATATTCACAGTGAGAGCAGTGGTAATAATAACGACAGTTAACGTTTACCGAGGGCTCACCCTGTGCCAGGACCTGTTCTCAACCCTTTAGATGCATCATCTCGTTTAATGCTTCAACAGCCTATAAGGTAGGTAGGTAGCCACGCCCATCTTACAGATAGAGAAACTGAGGCCCAGAGAGATTGATAATGTGCCCGAGGTCACACAGCTAATAAGCGGCAGAAGTTGGTGAGGACGCAGGCATTCCAGCCACAGAGCCTTTGCGAGGAGCCCCCAGACCTGGAGTGAACCGTGTCTGCATCTGGGAGGCTGGGCTACTCTGAAGGAGGTTTTCTTGTTTCTGCTCCCATCTGCCGCATCTTGAATGGATCTTTTGTTTATTTATTCATTCATTTGTTTTCATGTTTATTGATTTATTTTTGAGAGAGAAAGAGAGGACAGGGGAGGGGCAGAGAGAGAAGGAAAGGCGGAATCCCAAGCAGGTTCTGCACCGTCAGCACAGAGCCCGACGCGGGGCTCGAACCCATGAACCGTGAGATCATGACCTGAGCCAAACTTAAGAGTCGGATGCCCAACCGACTGGGTAACCCAGGCGCCCCTTGAATGAATCTGTTAAACGAGATGCCGCATCCACCCCTTATCCAACGCAGCAGCAACGGAAGCCGTTGGTCACCGGAAGGCTCGTGGTTGTGGGGCCATCACCTGCGAGGTTGTCCACCCACATGTGATGACTGCTCTCCTCGGCCTGCTGCCCTGCTGCTCTCTTTCCAGAATCTACCTTGTCTGGACCACATGCTAATGAGCTAACTGAGAAGGTCTGACTTACTGGCAGCGTTTCTTGACGAAACCCACTTGCTCCATAGAAGAGCTGGCACGGGCAAAGAGACCTGAGTGACAGGACCGTGTGTGGATGCCAAGCGGCGTTGGGACCATTTAGTTCAAGGGGTTGTCCGGGTGCCGGCACCACCTCCACATGCGCGACTAGCGACCGCGCCAAAGCGTGTGGGTATGGTTTTCGAGGTCGTTGGGAGACGCGGCGTGGGAGGCAGGGACGAGGGGCCGACTCCCCTCGGGCCACGGGGGCGGCCGCACCCCACGCGGATGAAGCGCCAGCGGGCTCAGCACCGGCCCGCGAGCGAGGGGAGCCTGGCGATGCCCTTACGAGGGGACCACGGTCAGACCTCCAAGACCCACTTGTGCTGCTTCCATTCGGCAGCGAATCAAGAGTTGCCCAAAACAGCAGGAACGAAGACTTTAAGAACCCACCCCTCCCCCCCCCCCCGCTCCCTGAAGGAAGTTGTCACATCTGTGTGTGACGCCTGGAGCTGCAGCAGCATCTTGTGACCGCGAGGGGACAGCCCCATCTGCGGTCGATGGGGGAGAGCAAAAAGAGCCCGGACCCTTGGAGAGTTCCCAGGGACGCTGGTCCCAGGTGGGACCGCCTACCAGCGGCCGTCACATTCGGCGAGAAAAAAGCCACTTTCTCCTTGTTCGATCCACTTCTACTTATGTAGTCTTTTAGTGTTTATTTTTGAGAGAGAGAGAGAGCGCGTGATTGGGGAAGAGGCAGAGAGAGAGGGAGACAGGGCATCCCAAGCAGGTTTCTCGCTGTCAGCACAGGGCCCGACACGGGGCTCAGTCCCACGAACAGTGAGATCGTGGGCTGAGCCGAAATCAAGAGTCAGACGCTCAACCGACTGAGCCACCCAGGTCCCCTGTTTGATCCACCTTTAATCGACTGCCCCGGGCCCTCTTGTCAGACGTACTCTCGCCTCCGGAACGGTCCCCGTGTCGCAGACCCACTGCGAGAATTAAGTGAGGCGAGGAGGCTTGTGAAGCTCCGAGCCAGTCCCCCGTCCTGTGGTGCCGGATACGCGTCAGCCCCACGTGGCTGGAACATGAAGCCCTTCCACATCGCCACCGCGATGACACGAGGGTAAGTCAGAGGCCCTCACGGAGCACGGGCCACGTTCAAGGCTCTGGTTCGCACGCGAGGTTGGCGCTCCATCCCTTCCCCGTCCCCGTCCGGGGGCATCGGAGGTGCTGGCTGATAATCTTCATCTTACACACCAGGAAGCTGAGGCACAGAGAGGGTGAGGAACTTGCCCCAGGCCCCCAGCAAGAACGCACTGGAGCTGGGGCTCGAACCAGGCCTGCGTCCCGAGCTCCAGCACGAGACGGCCCTGCCCCGCCCCGTCCCCGGTGGAGGCACTCCTGTAGGACCCGCGAGCCCTGCACAGGGACCTCGCCCTCGGCTCCTGGACGTCCCCAGCTCAGAGCTTCCACTCGTGTCTTGCCTCCTCCCTGTGTCTGCTTGGTCCCGAGGCACTCCCCGGGGAGGCGGGCAGAGCCAAAAAACCCTGGCTCGCCTGCCTTGCTAATAGAACTAGAATGTTCTTGTCGAGACGGGTTTCTTTTGGGGATGGCCAAGCAAGCCACGTACTCAGCTGCTGGAGGCAGAGGACAAACACGATGTGTCATCGGGGACTCGGCCGCGGCAGCTGACACTTGTCCCTCGCTCTTCGGGGCCGGCTGTGCGAGGAGGAGACTGTTCTTAGGCCAAATCCAGCATCGCCGGGGGAGTTTTCATAATTGCTGATCACTCCGGGCTTCCCTCCCACGTTCCTGTCACTTCCCTTCTTCTCCCGAGGGGACTCGCAGGGTCAGCTTGCGGACCTCAGTTGCTGGGACGTCGCAGCCCCTCACCCTGTGGGGAGGGGGCCCTGGCGGTCTTCTCTGATCCCTTGACATCTCCTGCTTCAGGGAATCCCACAGACTGGGCGGAATCTGAGTCAGAAACCGTTTCTGGCTGCTCTTGAACATGATCCCCGGCTCTCTGTGGGTTTCCTTGGCCGGCGTCAACCTGGACGGCCGGTTCCCTCTGGAGCACTAGACCCCAACACTAGTAACATCGCCTCCGAGCTCCCCCGGGGCTGCAGCGAAGGGAGAGAAGCTGGGAGGCGGCCGCTGGGTCCCATCAGCCACGGCGCCGCGGCCCGCGGGTGCGGGTGCGGGTGACAGCATCCTGCAGGACGCGGCTCGCGTGCCTTATGACTCAGTGCGGGAGATAATTGCACACAGATCTGTTTTCTTTTTCTCCCTGTCTGGTTATCTGCAACTCCAAGATAGCCACCCTTCCCTGCACGATTTGCCCTCAGGCAAAGGTCTGTTTTGTTGTGTGCTTGTAAATCCCGGTCTTGATTTTCTCACCGTGTCCAGCCGCTGTGGCTTGTGGTGGGGAGGGGCACGTCTGCATTTTGGCCCCCTTGGACATCCCATCTTGGGGGTCTGGCTTCTTCTGTGCTAGTCACAGATGGATGACATCGTATTTTGGCGACTCAAGAGCAGGCGGAATACAGGACTCCAGGTGGGCTGCTGGGGGCTGGGGGTCCCTGTCCTCACGTGCTGCCTTAGGCTGTGAAAGTCAGAGCGAGCAGGTGTGGCCTAAGGATTCTGCCTCCTGGGTCAACCCCATCAACCGTCTCCCTCTCTCTCTATCGCCATTGCAAGCCCCCTCGTATAACTTTCCCTGCTACGAGATGGCATTGAATTTGACCAGAGTGTGACCAAGTCACAAATACATTCCCTTTGGAAATGTCCTCACTGTGCCTCGCCTTCTAGAGAGTCCACATTTTCAAGCGAACTAGAAGTCATTCCCTCTCAGCTCCTGTCTTTCTCCCGTCCTTCGGGCTGTTGGTTCGTTTTTTTCTTCCTACCGCCAGTTGGCATTAGATCCCATCTGATCGTGCATCTGACTTTCGGTTTGCTGCGGTTTCCTCCCACCGCGATGGCAACATCGGGACAGATGCAAACCTGATGGGTGCTCCGCCCTCTGTGTCGAGAACTGTACCCCGGGCCGTGCAGGAACTCAACTGGTACTTGGGGATCGATTGCATGGAGCCACTCACTAAATACGAATCAGTGACAGTCCCGTGGTGCATGTGGGGCACCGAGGTCAACTGTGACGAGTTGGGGACGGCTGGGTGAGGCGCTGTGCTGTATACATGTTGCACGCCCGTGACCGTGTTGAATGGGGGGGGGAGCGGGCAGCGGGGCAGTCAGCGAGCGGGGCTCTGCGGTCCCTCCGTCTGGGTTCAATTCTGGCCCCAGTTCTCGGTACACCCCTGCCCTTGGGCAGGTTGCTCAGGCCCCTCTGGGTCAATTTCCTCATCTGTAAATCCCCCCCGTCTGGGGATGATGTTAGTACCTGTCTCACCGGGACGTTGTCCAGATTAAATAAGGTAATGCGTGCAGCGCACTTAAAAGGTGCTCCGTGCAGGGTGTGGGCTCAGCAAAGACAGCCGTTACTAATCCTTACAGCAGCCCTACTAAGCGGGCACCACTATGATCCCGAGTTAGCAGACTGGGAAACTAAGCAAGGGAAACAACACCCACCCTGTGCTCAGCGAGTCTGCATTTAATATGGGACAAACGCACAAAAAACTCGGCTCTGCATTGCATTGTGCTTAAAAAAAAAAAAAAAGAAAAGAAAAGAAAAAGCCAGATGCAGGCAAGGTGCTTCAGATCCCATTCCTTATGGAAGGACAGGTTCCAAAGCCCACGCTCGGGTCACAGCGCTATATTCCGTGGCTTCTGGGACGCCTTGGCATGACTTCAGTGTCATTCGAAGAAAATCCCCGGTTACGCAAGCACCTGGGCCGGGGTGCGGCCTCAGGAACAAGCAGCGTTAAGCATGTGACACAAACGGGCGGCTTGAAGACGGCTCTGCGAGTGGAAGAGGCTCGTCACAACCCAGCGGCATCTGCAGGGACGGTTTAGGCTAAGCGTGCTGTTGCAGTTGGTTCACGGGTTGGCTTGGTGATGGGGCTGCCTCGTGGTCTCCAGCCGACGTCTGTTTACTGATGGTGTCCCGTTTCTGCTTTAAGGGCGCTGAACCTGGGCGCCGAGAAGACACCTAGCGGAGTCCCCGTGTGCTGCTTATGCCTCGAGCTCGGCCGAAATGCTCCTTGCGAGACCAAAGAGCAGCTCCGCGCCCTGAGTAGCAAGCTGAGACCTGTCTCACACTGAGGGCCTGGGAGGGGTAGTCATTACCCGGCCTGGCCTTTGAATCTTGCCGATGGTGGTATTTATATTCTTAAAACGTGGCTGAGCAGACAGCCATTTCCTTGGGGAGTTAAGTCATCAGCTAACAGTGTCTGCAAATGGCCCCATGGAGACTGCCAGGGAGCAGGTTGAAGGTCACCGATGGCTCCGGGCCTCACTGGGCCACACACGGGGAACGGGAGGAAAAGGTTAGCCGTAGTAGTCACGTGCCATGCGTCGTGCACGACTTGTGTATAAGACGACTCATGAATAGGAAGTATTATCCCCATTTTACAGAAAAGCAAACTGAGTCTCAGAGAGGTGAAGTAATCTGCCTAGGTCACACAGCTGGGACGCTGGATGTCTGAAGTCTGGGGTATCTGATTCCAGATTCCATACGCTCACCCTCGGTGGACTCACAATTCTCCTTTTTCGGGAAACAGGGAAGAAGACAGCCTCAGGAGAAGAGGGAGGAGACTGTGAGGGAACAGGAGAATCGGAGGAAGAAAGGGGCGCCGGTGTTGGGGAGTGAGGTCGGGTGGCCTTGATGATTTGCACAGGCCTCCCGGAGGAGCCCCGGCCTGTCCAGCAGGAGCGGCAGCTTGCAGCCAGCCACAAAGCTCCGGGAAGAAATCGAGGGGGTGTGGCCACAGAAGCCACTTCAAAAGCAACCCCGAGTGCGTTCTGCCTCTGGTGTCAGCAGGACACTTAGGTTGCAAGCGACAGAAAAGCTAATCAAGCCAGCTTAACAGAAAAACAGAAAAATAAACATGGGCCCCCTCAACTTAAAAGTGCAGAGTAGATGACTTCAGGAACGGCTGTGTCCAGGTGCTCCAACGAAGCTTCTCTCTGTGTCGTCTGCTTTTTCAGGCAGGCATTCTCCAAGGAGGATGGAAGTCAGCAGCCCCAGGCTTGTGTCCAGCGCTTTTGCAGGGGGGGAGGAAGTGGCTCCCTCACAGGAGTTCCAACAGAAAGTTTGGGACGGAGCAGCACTGAGTAGGACTAACGTTGCCTGGGTCACGTGCCCATTCCTGAACCAAGCACTTTGGCCACAAGGGGATGAGATGCTCTGATCGGCTCATCCGTATGCAGAACCAGAGCCAGCCCCGCCAGAGCTGCCTGGACCGGGGAGGGTGCGTCTCCGAGAGAAATTTCCAGAGAAAAGTGTTAAGCATACTGAGGAGCGAAGACGGAAACCTCAGATGTCCTCTACCAAGCTTTTTCTTTTTCTTTTCTTTTCAATTTTATTACTTTTTAATTTTTCAAAATGTTTTTATTTATTTTTGAGAGAGAGAGACAGAGAGAGTGTGAGCAGGGGAGGGGCAGAGAGAGAAGGAGACACAGAATCGGAAGCAGGCTCCAGCTCTGAGCTGTCAGCACAGAGCCCGACGCGGGGCTCGAACCCACGAGCCGGGAGATCACGACCTGAGCCACAGTTGGACACTTAACCGACCGAACCACCCAGGCGCCCCTTGATTTTATTTGTAAGTAACCTCTATACCCAACATGGGGCTCGAAGTCGCAACCCCGAGATCCAGGTCGCACGCTCCACTGACTGAGCCAGCCAGGCTCCCCAAGCTTTTTCTTAGTATAGTGACAGCACTCGTTTATCACCACCCTGCGACACTTGTCACTGTTATCACCTCCCTGGCTATAGTAACTACCCAGACCCCCAACTGCGTGCGTGTCTGAGTCTCTTATAAACCACACAGCAGGATGCCCTTCCATGGGGCGGCTCCCGTGTTGCCCGCCCCACCCCCCTGCACGTACCTTCGACAATATGTTCTCTTCTGTTTCTATTTTGTTCTTTTCTCTCTTTTTTAAATTTTACCTTTAAAGAGAGAGCGAGAGAGAGTGCAGGGCAGGGGGGAGGGACAGAGGCAGAAAGAGAAAGAGAGAGAGAGAGAGAGAGAGAGAGAGAATATCCCAAGCAGGCTCCACAATCCACTCAGAGCCTGACCTAAGGCTCGATCCCACGACCCGAGGATCATGACCTGAGCTGAAATCAAGAGTCAGACGCTCAACCGAGTGAGCCACCCAGGCGCCCCCTCCTCTGTTTATAAAGTAATACGTGACCGTGCTGGAAAATACAAAGAATCTCACGCTCGGAGGAAGCCATTCATAGTCCATTCCAGAGTTTTTTCCATGTACTGTAGGTACTTTTTCTATAATTATAAGGTCATTTGATGTGTTAAGTTGTGGGCGCCGCTCCTTCCCATTAGTAGCTTAGCCATTTCTCTGCCTCCTTGAAAGTCCTTTGTAAAGACCATGGTGGCCGAGGCTCTGAGCCTTGCGCCCCACGCCGCGGCCAGCAGGTCTGGGGACAGGGATTAGGGGCCCCACCAGGACCGCGTCCGGCGAGCTGCGGAAAAGCGGTTTCCGGATAGGAGGAGTGCTTCTGCTTCGAGCAGATGGGAGGGTAGCGGGTCGACTGCGTCGGGAGGCCGGAGCTGGGGCACTGGATTCAGACGAGGCAGATCCTGACCTGTGGGATGACGCGGCACAAGCCACCCCTGTGGGGTCAGCGGGGAGCCTCCTGGGCGTCTGAGCTCCTGCTTCGGGGCGGTGAAAACCACAGGATTGTCTTGATTGAAGGTGCGGTCTCAGTGCAGCCACGCAAAGGGAGCAGAGTCACAAGATTCATTATTTACAGGTGCCAGGACCAGGGGAAGCCTAGTCACGAGCGAGCAGGGTCGCGAGCACCTAGTACTTCTAAGGTGGTTGGGGCGGAGGTCGAGAGCTTCTCGTGAGCGTTACTCCAAGAGGTTGTATTAAAAGGGGACTCGGGAAAAGCAAAGCAGAGACTGATGGCGGAATCTTAAACTCAGACGTATCTAAATGTCCAGACTCGGCGTGAGCAGGGTTGTCGTGCTGTAAATGACCAGGGCAGCGTCTCAGAAAAATAAAAGTTGTTTTCCTCATCACGATCGGGCTCCTTCCCTGGTGCCTACCTCCAGCCTTCCTCCCGGCTAGAAGATGCACCGTCAACTTTTCTGGCCGCCTTGACTCCCGTAGTCCCGTGAGGCTGTGTCCTTGTGCTGTCCCCCATCACATGTCCTCTTGTGTTTCCTGGCCGGGGCAATTTTATCTCGCTCTCCCGTCTGACTGCAACATCACGTGTGGCTTTGGCCTGCCTTGTCTTAGGCTTGTCTGGACACATGTCCACCTACCCCTGGAGGCGGGACCTTATTTCAGTGGCTGCTTGATGAGTGTCTACCTGGGGGGGGGGGGGGCGGGCGAGGGGTCACTGAGCTCCATGCTGAAGATACTGTGAAGAAAAAACAGACCTGGTCCCGCCCTTGGGAAGTTTACAGTCTAGACTGGTGGACAGACGTCATCAGTCACACCAAATAACGTGAAAAGTGTTCTAGACCTTGAGGGCATGTTTAATGGGGGAGGGGGGGCCGGTGGCCGGGGGAATGTTTGAATCAGGGAAGATTTCATGGAGGAGGTGATACCTGAGCTGAGTTCTGAGGGGGCGTTATCTGGTCCAAGAGACAGAGAAGAGAGACCGAGGCAAAAGGAGCATGTGCAAATGCCCTGGGGGAAGCATGGTGACCTCAGAAGGGGGGTGGGGCTGGAGAGCTGGGGTGGGGGATGGGGGAAGGTGGACAGTAGGGGAAGGGGGCCAGAGAGGACCATGGGCAAAGGCATGCCGCGCCTTGGGGGCCCGGTGAGAATTTTGATCCCCGTTCTAAGAGCAATAGTGAGGTAGGGATTGGAATGATCAGAATGACGTAGTATCAGTGAAGCATGACAGTGTATCGGTGGAGTATCAGCAGAGGAGGAGGGTGGGCCGTTCCATTGTCGTCACTGTCTTCTGGGGCAAACCTGTCTCTTTCGCCACTGACCCAAGTAGCACATGTACCAGCTTTTTGATCCAGGCATCTGAGCGACTTTTCAATGTCAAGAGTGTATCCGCTCATTCGCCCGCTCACTCATTCATTCAAAGTACGGGCTGAAGGGTCCCTGCAGGGCTCAGTTGGCTAAGGGTCCGGCTCAGGCCATGATCTCGTGGTTCGTGGGTCCGAGCCCCACGTTGGGCTCCGCGCTGACAGTGTGGAGCCTGCTTGGGATTCTCTCTCTGCCCCTCTCCACCCTGTTCGTGCTCTCTCTTCCCCAAAATAAATAAATGAACATAAAAAAAAAAAAAAATACCGGTCGAGGTCCCTTCATGCGTCCAGCACTGGTGAAGTCCAAGCAGGCGTCTCAGGATATAGAAGAGGCTCGAAAAACATTTGTTGGACAACAGAGTGAATCTCTCAAGAGCTTGCCAGCAGTGACGTTCTTGGATGTTGGCGGCTTCGTGTTGTGATGGCTTCAACCCATCACGCGTTGAAATTCCAGCTTTTACATTTTGTGAAAACAGGAACTTGTATAAAAAGATGTACAGGTTAATTACAAAGGTGTAAATCCCACCATCTGTGATTTGTGTGATTTGAGATAAATTATTTCAAAGCTCTGGGCTTCAGCTTCTTGACTATATGAAGGGGAATAACAGAGGTGCCGGGGGGAGGGGGGGCTCAGTCAGTTGAGCGTCTAACTCTTGGTTTCAGCTCAGGTCATGATCTCACGGTTCATGAGTTTGAGCCCCGCGTTGGGCTCCACGCTGACGGTGTGGAGCCTGCCTGGGATTCTCTCTCTCAGCCCCTCTCCCCCCCCCCTCAAAATAAATAAACGTGAAGAAGAAGGGGGCTATAACTAACCGCAGCGCGTGCAGAAATGAACTAAAGTGAGGCTAACGTCTCACACAGTGCCTGATAGCAGAAAGCCCTCAGTGACACTCGCTCAGGATATGCTCGCGAGCGAGTCGGCTGTGCACCCTCTCGGGCACTGGGATCCGGAATGGCCGAGAGAGGTGTGTCCGAGGGAGAGGGGGAGGAAAGGAAGATTTGACCACCTTGGTCTTCTGTACCCCCGTGGGCGCTTTCCTCTCCCACCTTCCAAGGCAGGGGGCCCTCGGTGCCAGCTCCGAGCACAGAAGCCAGCAGATCTCTCTGGGTGGCCAGCGGGGACTGACCCGGGGCACAGCGGGTCCCATCTCTTGCTCTCAAGAGCCGACCTGCGAATAGGGAGACCTCTCCTAGCCCCGCTCCCCATCACCTACGTCAAAGTCACCCTCGGTGCACTGCGGTTCCTTTTGCAAAGTACAGGAGGGCCCTTTCCAGGTCAGTGCGGTGGAATTTGAGCCCGGCAGCGGGGCTCTCCCCTTTCCAGAGTCAGCCCCCTCCCTGGTTTGTTTCCATCCGTCTCTCAGGAGCTCAGTCAGCGCGATTATGGCCATCTTCATTTCAGTGTATCTTTCTTATTATACTGTTATTTTTAGATTACACCAGCCAGTGCACCCTCACTTCAAAAATACCAAAACACGAATCTCACAGTAAAGCCCTTTCTCTGGAAATGAGCAGTTTGTGAAAAATTCTTTAGGAAGTTTTCTATATGTTGACAGTATTTTTTCAACAAACACGGGTAACGCTACGCATATCATTTGAGTCTTTTTTTGTTGTTTTTTTGCCTTTAAGCACATCTTAGATGTTGTTCCAGATCGAGTCCTTCCTGTTTTAACAGCAGCAAAGAATCTGCCGTGGGGATGATCTATAGTATATTATTCCCTCCCCTACAGGTAGATATTGAGTGGTTTTCTAATTCTTCGCTATGACAAACAGTGCAGCCATGAACAGCCTTATGCCCATATCGGAAAGCCCTGGAAGAATCATGAAGTTGAAAGCTGGAATTCAAATCTGAAAAGCAGAATCAGTGGGCCAACCAATAGTCATAACGGGAAT